ACATTGTTTGATATTTCATCATTTCCAGGACTCTTATTAATTTTTAAGCTTTGGATAATTTCTATAATTTCGTATTCAGTAACTGGGTTTAAAAAAACGAATCAAGAAGAGGTGGGTTAAGAAAGCAAGAGAAATGTTGATTAGTTTGAATATTAATTTTTGCTGCAATATCTGGTCCGATGTTTACAAAATAGTCATTTAGTTTTTTAGCAATAGTATGTTTGTTGTTACGACCAAGAACACTATTAATTATTTGCCAGGTTTTAAACATATTATTCTTGTATGAATTGAATTTATTATTATAATATTTTTTACGAGAAGTTTTTAATATTTTGGTTAACCTGTTTCTATAAGTTATATATTTATATTTGTAAGATTCCCTTTTTGATTTAATATATCTTTTGTATAACTTGTTTCTTGTGTCTATAGATTTTATTATGCTATTAGTTATCCAAGGTTTTTTTTCCATTCGAATATTTCTTTTCTTTCTAACTTTTTTAATGTGGGTGTCATATATTTTTAGAAACTTATTTGCAAATGAATTGTAAGCATCATTAGGATTATCGTTGTTGTAAACATCGGACCAGACAGTACAAAGAAGATTATTACTTAGAAAGGAAATTGTATAATCATTTATTTTCCTAGACATAGAGTATTTTATATTATTATTAGATAGAGAATGAGATGAATTTGAATGAACAATAGAATAGATAGGAAAGTGATCAGATATGTCAGAGTAAAGAATGCCAGGAGATATTTTAGTTTGCATGTTGTTAGTAAATATATTATCGATAAGGGTGGCTGTTTTAGTTGTATAGGTTCAGCCTTTATTTCAATAAAAATAGATTCAGCAGTTGTAGAGATTAAATTAGAAAGATCATTACGAACTGTGTATTGTAAATTCTGGTCCAGATATATGGCAACACCACCTCCCGTTCTATTGGTTCTAGAAGAATGCAGGAGTGAATAACCTGGTATGTCGTAAAAAGAAAAAACAGTTTTATTATTGTTAAAAAAGGTTTCAGAGAAACATAAAGCAGAGAAATTATGATCCAGCGTACTTAGGAAGTCTGTTATTTCATTGTAATGATTAACCAAACATCGAGAATTCATATGAAAAATACTAATAGAAGAAGCAATATTATTAAATTTAGAATTAAAAGTATCTATAAGATCAAAATTACATTCATCATTATTTTCGGGATACATAGGATTAGGGTTAAATGCATTATTCATTGAAACATCGAAAAGGTCTAAAATTAAAGATTGTAAATGTTCAAAATGAACTTTATGATTGCAAAAGTAGTATTTAAGTTCATGAATAAATTCATTGTCATCTAATATATTGTTGAATGGAAATAAAATAGCTGTACAGTTATAGCAAATCCAATTACGATCATTATTACAGCACTGTATGTGGACAGTATTAGAACAATTTATACAACTTATTGCAAATTCATCTGTGGGTTTGGAACACAAAAAACAATTCATTTAATATTTTTGAGTAAATAAATTACCAGACTACCAGAGATAAAAAATGCAATGAATAGTATAGAAACAATAATGGGTAATTTAAAAAATAAATTTAATAGTAATGGCGAAAACATTGGAACGGTATCGTCTGCAAGTTGGTTTGGTTTACATTGCTTTACAAGTATTTACATAAGTGAGTGTCATTAACCAGTTCAAGCTTTCAGCTCCTTTTGGTATCGAGATATATCCAGCTGTGTGCAGATAAAAATTTTCTTCAAGGCGTTTGTGAGTACACATATTTTTCCATCTTGCGTCCAGGTGGCTTTGATAGAGTTTGCATATTTAGTCTTCACGTCACGCAGTATAGACCGTGGGTTGAGGCTCCAAAATCGGCTTAGTTTACGAATTCTGTGACCCACCGATCCGCGCTACTTGGCATTCGCACAAAAATGTCAATACTATTTTATTTAAACACAATATAATTGTCGGTAATCGTAAATTTGGGGAAACTGTAAAAAATGAGAATTTATCTTCGAAAAAATAATGTCGCTCATGAAAGCAGTACCCAATCACAGCACACTTACCATACCCGTTAAGCATTGATGAGACGCTATTAGCCAATCACAAACGTTCTTGTAAACTCGGTAACTAATGTAAACAATGTCGCGAGGAAAGTGACAATGTGTAGCAATTTGGACGAATGTTCTCCGGTTTTAGTGGAATATTTCAATATGATATAGTATACCAGCCTTTAAAATACTTGGTAATAGTTGTAAGATTTTAGAGGTAGTAAATTGCATTTCCCGTCTTCTGTCGACTGTCATACCGTAGTTTTTTAAGCCAAAGTCGATCGTGCTATACTGAATGTGTATTGTATTACTTATCTAGGCCTACATATGCATAGTAGGAAGGGCAAGAAGTAATGTTCAACGACTTTGAATGAGACAAGAAATTCCTGTAAATATATAATATATTTTATTTCTATTTGGAATCGCTTTTATCTTTTCCCATAATTAAAAAAATGTACAATTTAAAAGAAAACTGAGGCTGAATTACTTCAAAAAATAAGAACACATTGAGGCTGATGTAAAATTTCAAATGTTTTTATTTGCATGCAATGTAAATATATAACATTAATCAGTATTTCTTGCCATGCCTGTTGATTTTTGTTTAACTGCTTGAAGACCTTGGTAATATGTACTGAATTAATTAATAAAAGTAAAGCAATTGATGATTCCAATAAGGTGAAACAAACAAAATTTTTAATATACCTCAGTTCAGCCAGTTGCATCCCATCAGCACTTGCATTATATCTCTGATCACTCACTGGGCATATACATTTAACTACACAACAGTAAACACAAGGTTGAAAGAAGTTTATGACAAAAATCTGAACTTTTATATGAATATTATTGAAACACTGTAGCACATCATCTACCTACACAGAACTGCTTTAAACATAGCTGAATATATAGTTCAATCCAATCCACTTATAAACATGTGTTAAATATAACAATTATATAATATTATCAATTTAATCAACCAGCATAAACAATTTAAAAGAAACTATAAATAATGAAAGTTTTGCTGTATTCATTATAATTTATCAGCAAGTATTGTTCTGTTATTTTCATATTGCATTGTAAAGTACAATACAATGCAATTCAAAAAGTCAATGCAAATTTTTATAAAGAAAATAAATGTGTTGTTGATAAATGTTCATACAAGGAAAAACCTTAATAATATCTGGTAATATTTCTCAACACAGTGTATGTTATGATGTCATATCAAATAGATAACAACATTCATACAAACAGTATACAGTTCCAATCTGATAGGACTACTTTCAATTGATTCATGTTTCTATCCATGGCCTATAATATGGCCTGAATTGCCACCAGATCCTTATCCCTCATGTAGTGACAAGGCTTCATCCTGATTTGCAGTAGCAGCCTCAAGTAATTCCACCACTCAATGTTTCACATCTTACTAATTTCTCAATGGTGTTTGCTCTATTAAAAGTACTTAATATATTATTGTCTTTTTACAAAAAAATACATGGGAGAACATGACTTCGACCAGGCTTTCAGGTGATGCAGAATGAGCATTTGCTTTGGCTGTGGTTCATCAACTTCCATTCACTTGATTCTGTGGTCTGTGAAAATTAATTAAACAAACTAATTCAAAGAGCTTATCAATGCTAGTGTGATGGTTTTATTGATCAAATATGTATTTAAATTGTTTCTTCTTAATCAAAGGTTGTTTTCCAAAAAAAATAAGTAGTATCAGTATAATACAATATTAAATTCAGGTGGTGATGTTTAATTGGACATCAAAGTGTTGATAAATATTATTTGCTTAAGTCAGTTTTGATACCTATTAATTAATATATTTTTTGTTATGTTATGTCTAAGGATTCCTATGTAGATAAAGCATACTGTACTATCAATATAATAATTTTGTTATATTCTTTTCATGAAGACATTAAAATCAAATTAAGCCTGAATTACTTAGTCTAAGCACAGTCACTAAAGGGCACATCCCCCAGCCCAAAAAACTGAATTGATTCAATTTGTGTAGTAATTGTTCTTGGTAGACAGTAGTAAATAGTTGCTATATAATTGTGGATGGCTATTCTTGATTTGTCTTCATGGTCAGTTGTTTATGCTGGGTCGATTCATTGCCAACATTATTGTCTCAATATATTACAATATAACATCATCGTATTTGATTCACAATACTCTGTGGTTATTTTGCTGTCGATAGTACCCCAGATTAAGGAAAAAGGAAGGGCTTCCTGTCTGTGTGTATGGTGTGATAGAGAGACGCTTACCATTTTTAACGTTATATGTAACCACACACGTACCTTTAAACAGATTCAGTGCAATTTTGACTACTATTACTTGCACCACCATCCCTGAGATCCCCTTCGTTCTATCTGTAGGCTATTCATCAGCTTCGACGGAAACTTAATAGGCCTTACTGAGGACTCGTATTTGTTATTTTCCACAGAGTTGCACATCCTTAAATTTCTTTTAAGCTGTTTACGCTTAATGACACAACCATACTCTAGGTTCTTACAACATGTATCACAAAAATATGCCTGAAACTGGCTCAGATTTATCATTTGAAGAACTTCTGGCCAGCGCCATACTTGCAAGTGGAGTATGTTGTTTATTATTTACATTGGACAAACGGCATAGAAGGTAGTTTGTGATTGGCTGAGGGCCTTGCAGCTAAGCCAAACTTCATTGTTAGTCGTCTTCTGATTGGCTATAGTTACGTAGCAACTTTTGATATAAATTCTCATTTTTGGTTACAGTTTCCCCAAATTCACGATTGCCGACAATCAAATTATGTAACAATTTAATAGTATTGACATTTTTGTGCAAAAGCCAGGTAGCCCGGATAGGTGGGTCACAGAATTGAACGTTTTCGATCCTCAACCCACGGTCTAGTAGCTTCGATTGTTTTAGGGTCAGGTTTTCATGCAAAAAATATTGTGTGTCCTTGAAACGTTTCTTTACCTTAAAAACCTCGCTTCTCTTGTTATAATTTGTGAATTTAATGATTATACTCCTAGGTTTAGCTTCGTCAGTGCCCCTTTTGTGGCCCAGTCTATGCGACCTATCAATGTCGGCACTGTCAATGCAGACATTTAGCTTCTCTTTAAATACTTTAATCACTTCCGTGTCCGTGTTTTCATTTAAGGTTTCTGGGACACCATGTAGTATTAGGCAATTTCGTCTGGAATACTGTTCTGCTTCGTCAATATCATTTTCTAGTTCAGTAATTCTTTTTTCTAGATTAGATATTTTAAAGTTGGTTTCGTTAATGTCAAAATGTAGAGAATTTCTATTAAGACCGTAAGCTTACCGATAAGTTGATCTTGTACAACATTAGATACTGCTTCAACAATTTTCCTCATGAATAGGGAGTCCGATGCAAGGCATTTGTGCAATTCTGAATCAATCAATTCTTTAACATCCGAGATATCCGTAATAACACTTTCTTTTTGCTTTTCAGGCTGGTTGTTTTCAGCGGTGTCAGAGGTATCTCCGGAATCCGATTTTCGTTTCTTCCCTTTTCGTTGTTTGCTGTTACCAGCCATCGGGTTAATTGATAAGAGAAGCAGCAATGTGCAAAAAAGAATCAATGACAGATGAAGCAGTTTTATTCAGTAGCGCAACCAATAAGTCTTGCTTGAACGGCAATGAAAAAAATGCTAACAATGCAAACCGAGAGCGCGTAACTCAGACACGTCCGTTCACCATGAGTTCTTGTACTCGGCTGTATGAATAGGTGCCATTTTTAGGCATCTAGAGGTGTCATAATCATAATTTGCGACTCCCAGTATGGAATAGACATAGTCTTTGATTAGACCTGTGCCTTGCAACGCAAGTGAATGGAGGAGTGTCTAAGCAAGGCAATTCATCAGAAAGACGCACATCTCGGGACATCAAAGGTTATAACTCTGGCATCGACATTCTAGGCGCACGTGCGTCCCTACACGCTGAACGTCACAAAAACCATAGCAACCAGACCATAAACCGTCACCGTACGTGACGATTTACCCACGCGCGTGTTAGTTGCCATGATAATCGCGCGTCGTGTGGTGATTACAAAGGACTAATGATATTTTGCACTAACATTAGACTGAAATATATTCTTCATTTCAACATTAATTTTACCAAAATTGTGGTGATTTGTCGTTCATGAGACTCACTTTGCAGTAAAAATTAATAAATGCCTGTATATACTCAAATGTTCGTTTTCGGCACCTAATGCCAACATTGTCAAAATGACAGATTAATATTGCATAAGAACATGAAATTTTATAAAATTTGTAAAATTTAAATTGCTATAACTTTTCATTTTCTTGGTCAATTTTACAAATCAAATTGCAGTTTATAGAAGCATTTAACAAGCTCGCGGTAAAAAAAAATAAGATGTAACAGACATTAAGAAGTACCTAAAATTAATAAAATAAAAACTAACACCATAAAACGAATGGCACGCATAGACTAATAATTGACGGCTGTACTCGCAACTAGTACCGGATTGTTGATGCCGCAGTAAAGATCAAAGGACTGTTACAGTACGCACGCGCTATGTTCGAGAGCAGCGAAGATGTGCGTCCTTCTGTTGAATTACCTTGGTTTAAGCATGGAGGTATTATTGAGAAGGAGATCACTCGGCAACAGATCCCTTTGACGCGACAAACCTATGTGTTCCCCGCTTTTGGATCGCGCGCGGGCGTATTACCCTATAATTCACATTTTTT